TTGGTTGCAGACAGATACAAGCGCACGCACCGCTGTGCGAATGGAGCCGAAAGGCCACCTCGGTCAGAGTTACAACAAACAACCCGACGTGGACGCGTGCAACATTGGCAGGGGCGGCAAGCGCTTTTCAGGCGATGTCAAGGTTGTCTGCCCCCTCACCAGCGGCGGGGAGCATGGTCGGAACGGCGCTTTTGTCGCCTTCGGCAACACCGAGGCGTTCTACCGGAACATGGTCGAGGGGCATGGGCCCTACCGCGCGGAGGGAGAGGGAGGCGAGGGGGAGGGGGAGGGGGATGGAGGGGAGTGTGAAGGGTATGGGGGCGAGGGAATGGAGGGAGAGAGGAAGAGCAAGGGCGAGAGGGGGCAGGGGACTGGTCGATGGCATACTAGGGGGGGCAGGGTAGTGGGCGGCGATCGCCGCATACGAACCGTCCTATGGCGGCGAGTATCGCTACGCCAGGGAGGACAAGGACGTCGACGTGCGGCTGCTGCTGTTCGAGTCGTTCGGTGGGTTTGGGAAGGGGGTCGGCGAGATCCTCTGCACCTCTGGGGGGCGGCGAACGCGCTGCAGAACAAGCTGACGCGGGCCCAGTACCTCGATGAGGTGACTTGGACCACCAAGAGCTGGCTGGGGCTGCAGAAGCAGCGCATCTCAGTCGTTCTTCACACGGCCATCGCAGAGCAGATTGTGAATGAGCTTGCCAGCGGCGAGGGCCGCGGTCGAGTGCACGGAGCTAAGTGCCTCGCCGTCCTCGCGGGCTACCTACCTCGCGGGAGTCGCTTAGGCGGCTCCAGTGGTGTACCTGTGTTAGTGCCAGTGCGCGCCAGTCCCGTGCCCAGTGCTGTGCGCACTTGGAGCACTTGGAGTGCAATCTTTTCACCGCAGATGCGGTGCCACGGTTTTAAAATTCTTTTGGAGGCATTCTGCAGCCGGCGCTCTAGCATTTCAGCCTCCGCGGGCGCAGCCAGAGTTTTAGAGCCCGAAATGGCCAGCGGCGCTCGGCCAGCCTTGCCGGGCGGTCACGAGCTTGGCGACCAGCTGTACTACACGGGCTCGAGCCAGACGTTTGAGAGTGGCAATAAGCTCACGCACGGCCAGTCGGGCGAGGTCGTCGGCCCCGCGACCGGCAAGCACCAAGGCAACGGCCTGCAAATGTTGTTTCCAGGGAACAAAGGCTCCATAAACTGCTCTCTGCTCAGGCTCAGCCGCGAGGAGCCGCCGCCTCTGCCGGGCGGTCACGAGACCGGCGACCGTACTGGACGGGCTCGAGCCATTCGTTTGAGAGTGGCGATACGCTCACGCACGGCCAGCAGGGCGAGGTCGTCGGCCCCGCGACCGGCGCGCACCAAGGCAACGGCCTGCAGGTGCTGTTTCCAGGGAACAAAGGCTCCATAAACTGCTATCTGCCCCAGCTCAGCCTCGAGAAGCCGCCGCCTCTGCCGGGCGGTCACGAGCTTGGCGACCAGCTGTACTACGCGGGCTCGAACCAGACGTTTGAGAGTGGCGATAAGCTCGTGCACGGCCAGTCGGGCGAGGTCGTCGGCCCCGCGACCGATTTTCACCAAGGCAACGGCCTGCAAATGCTGTTTCCAGGGAACAAAGGGCACGTAGACTGCTATCTGCCCCAGCTTAGCCGCGAGAAGCCGCCGCCTCTGCCGGGCGGTCACGAGCTTGGCGACCAGCTGTACTGGACGGGCTCGAGCCATTCGTTTGAGAGTGGCAATAAGCTCACGCACGGCCAGCAGGGCGAGGTCGTCGGCCCTGCGACCGGCGAGCACCAAGGCAACGGCCTGAAGATGCGGTTTCCAGGGAACAAAGACTCCATAAACTGCTCTCTGCTCAGGCTCAGCCGCGAGAAGCCGCCGCCTCTGCCGGGCGGTCACGAGCCCGGCGACCAGCTGTACTACGCGGGCTCGAACCAGTCGTTCAAGTCTGGAAACAAGCTCGTGCACGGCCAGCAGGGCGAGGTCGTCGGCCCCGCGACCTGCGAGCACCAAGGCAACGGCCTGAAGATGCGGTTTCCAGGGAACAAAGACTCCATAAACTGCGCTCTGCCCCAGCTCAGCATCGAAAAGCCGCCGCCGTTTCCCGGCGGTCACGAGATTGGCGACCGGCTGTACTGGACGGGCTCGAACCAGTCGTTTGAGAGTGGCGATACGATCGTGCACGGCCAGCAGGGCGAGGTCGTCGGCCCCGCGACCGGCGAGCACCAAGGCAATGGCCTGCAGCTTCTCTTCCCAGGGAACAAAGGCTGGATAGAATGCGGACTCGCCTCGCTGTCCCACGAGCTGAGCCTGCCCGGTGGCTTCAGAGTGGGAGAGGAGCTCTACTTTATTGGCGGCGGGTTCGTCGACGAGCAGGGGGACAAGGCCGTGTTTGGCTGCCGAGGATCGGTCACTGGCCCAGCCCGCAACGGCGACGCTGACGCTGTTTCCATGTCTTTCTCCGGCAACCGAGGGGACGTGCACTGCCGGGCCGAAGAGCTCAGCCGCGAGCCGGCGCCCTCGCTTCCCGGCGGCTTCGTTCTCGGCGAGCATCTCTACTTCACCGGAGAGGACCAGATCGTCGGGCGCGGCATCCTCGTGCGCGGCTCGCGTGGTGAGGTGGTGGGCCTGGGTTTGGAGCCGGACAGCCTCGCGATGCGCTTTTCGAACAAGGTCTTGTTTTCCGGTAACCAGCCGGTCAACATCGCCTCCCTGAGCCGTGACGATCCGTGCGCCGTGTCGTCCGTGCCCGAGAATGTATTGCGAGCGCGCCGAGCGCTTGCCGCGCGCAGGGAGGAGCAGGAGCGGGCTGCGGCAGCGGCGGCGTCGCAGACGGCAGAGGACATTGCAGCGGAGGCAGAGCGGCGGCAGCAGCTGGCGGCGGAGCTCCTGGAGGAGGAAGCTGCGGCCAGGGCTCCGCCTCCACTTCAGGAGGCGGGACGGAGGAGGAGGAGGAAGAAGAAGCAGAGCGGCTTTCGCGGGTCGAAGAGCAGCGCAACCGAAGGAGCAGAGGGATCGGCTGACTGCGGCGACTCCACCACCTCAAGGGCGGCGCCAGCGCGCGAGTCGGCTTCAGAGAGCGACGAGGAGGAGCGCGTGACGCCAGCCGAGGAGGCGCGACGGGCGGAGGAGTCGGAGCGGGCGGCGCAGCGAGAGAGGCAGGCGAGGCTGCTCGAGGCAGCGCGGCGGGAGAGGGAGGAGCGTTTGGAGAGGGAGGCTAGGGCCGAGGCCGCGGCCGCGGCTGCGGCGGAGAGCGAGGCTCGCGGCAGGCGACAGCAGGCGGCGCGAGCGGCGGAGGAGGAGCGGAAGCGAGCAGCGCGGGCGGCGCTGGTGGACGAGATGGAGGCGCAGGCGCGGCAGGAGGAGGCGGCGCGGGCCGGGGCACAGCTGAGGACGACGCAGGCTGAGCAGTCCAGCACGCGCTCGGCGATCGAGCAGGCGCTCTCCCAGGCTAGGTCAGACGCGGCGGCGGCGAGGGTTCGCGAGGCGACGGCGGGGTCAGAGGCGGAACGGGCGAGGTCAGAGGCGGAACGGGCGAGGTTAGAGGCGGAGGCGGCGAGGGCGAGGGAGCAAGAGGCGAGGGGGCGGAAGGAGGCGGCGACGGCAGAGGCGGAGGCGGCGACGGCACGCGAGGAGGCGCTCACCATGCGACTCGCGGCGCTCGAGCTAGGACCTCCACCGGCCGCCCCGCCACCGGCAACCGCAAACAACGCTGTGGGGGGAGGCGTCGGAGGCACCTTCCACGGCGCCACGCTGCCGCAGAAGGTCTCGCGGATCTGTGCGCATTTGGGGCTGGACGCGCGCTCCTCGCTCTCTGCGGCGGTGGCGGCGGCGAACGAGAGCACAGGGGTCGCCGCTGAGGGAGGGCTTCTGCAGCAGGTGGACCGGCTGATCGCGCTGCTGTTTTGGGAGCCGCAGGGGAGCGCTCCGGAGGTGAGGTAAGGTAAGGTCTCTAAGAAAGCCGTATAGGTTAACTTCGTCTCCACACACACAAGGTGGTGGGGGGCAAGGGGGGGCGACCATAGTCTGAGGGTTAGGTTTCTGGAGCCTCGGGTGCTTTTACGCTTTTGATCGGGTCAGGGGAGAGTGCGACTTTTACCACTTTGGTCGTCTCGGAGCGCCCAACTTTTAGCATTTTTCAAAAATTTCTTCGGCGCTGCGCGCCGGGTGCAGCAAGTACTAGCTATCGTCCCGCAAACCGCGGCAAAGTAGTTCCCGCACACTATGGCTAAAAAAATGCTGCCGCTCGCCTCGAAAGCGCCCGCCGGTGTGTGTCCAAACATGTAGCGCTACAAGTGTTTGTGACACATAAGGACGCATCCTCCCACAACACTTCACCCGCTGGCTTGGTTGCAGCTCTGCCGACCATCTGCCGGCTTGGGGGGGCTACGGTGGCATTCGCCGGAGAGTAGAATGTCCAATATTTTCGCGCGCCTGCGGCGGCGCGACTTTTACCATTTTGCCCCGGACGGGCGCGGGCGGGCCCACTTTTGTCGTTTTGCCCCAAATCTACGGCTAGCCGTGCTTTTAGCGTTTTGACCCAAATCGGCCGAACTTTTAGGATACCCTCAGACTATGGGGGCAACCTGGTTTGTGGACCTCCCGCACCTGTCCTGACAGTCCTGACAGAGTCCTGACAGAGTCCTGACAGAGTCCTGACAGAGTCCTGACAGAGTCCTGACAGAGTCCTGGCGGGGTCCTGACGGCGCACGGTCTTCACAGTGCTCACAAGTGCCTCCGACGAGACCTCCACCTTCCTTCACTGCAACCCTCCTTCCCCTCCCCCCCAGCAGTGAATGATAGACGCCCAGCCCCCCTTTCGACCGTGCGCGCCCTCTGCGGAATCGTCCTGATGGGGCAGTCCTGACGCAAACTTGAGAGTCCTGACAGAAACTTGAGAGTCCTGACAGAAACTTAGAGTCCTTACAGACAAAAGAAATCACCCTCACTCTCGCGCCACTCGGCTCGACCATGAAAGCGCACAAGCAAGAGGCGCGGCCATGGTGCAGGCAACGTTACAGCCGGCAACGTGCAAGAAGGCAGCAAAGCTCGGCCACGACGTCCATGGCCCGCGCCCCCCCGATTTGCCACCGGCGGCCTGCAGGCCAGCGCCGAGCAGCGGACCGACTGCTGACCGACTGCTGACCGACTGCTGACCGAGGCAGCGCCCACGGCAGCGCCCACAGCAGCGCCCACGGCAGCACCCACGACAGCACCCACGACAACGCCCACGGCAGCGCACACGGCTTGGCTGGCCATGTCAGCCGCGCAGGGACCCTCCCGCGGGTCCAACCCGAAGCGCTCGACCGCTCGACGGCGCAAGTCGGCTGACGGAGCGAGCCGCATAGCCCTCCAGTGCTCACCGCAGGATCAGGCCCGACCGGCCCACGCTCACGGCCTGGCCTGCCTGTGGACCAGCAAACTCGTTGGCTGTACGCGAGCAAAGAGCTGCGTGGCTGGGTTGTGAGCATACCGTCCCCGTTGCGCCCTTTCCCTCAGTGGAGGGCCGTCCCTGCCCTCGGGAGTAACTCGACTGTACACCCCTCCCTACTCTCTAGCTAAGGGCTCTGTTCACAGCGGGGGGGCAGTGGTTGTCCTGGCGGAGTCCTGGCGGAGTCCTGACAGAGTCCTGACAGAGTCCTGACGGAGTCCTGACAGAGTCCTGACGGCCTATTTTGGAGGTTTTCAACTTTGAGGTATTGTTACTATGTGAGGGTGAAATGAATGAATCAGTTCTTTGGGACAGTGCAATCCTTTTAATTATTACCTCCAACTCAAAAAAAGTCTGATGTCAAACGGACAACGGGGTCCCTTATGGTGGCCTGTAAGGGTAAGGTGCGGGAGGTCCACAAACCAGGTTGGGCGACCCTCGCGTCTCGGGGAGGTCAGGAGTGCAGGACCAGGAGTCACATAAGAACCGACGACCCGACGAGCGACGTCCATCCAAATTCCAATACGCAAAAGAATCGGAAACCATGAAGAACGACCCGCGGGCCGAGCGGTGGATGAAATTTACGTGTAGGCGTGCGATGTCGCTTGAGTCCGTATGTCTTGACTCTTGTGAAAGGTGATTCATTCCACCTGAGGTGTGTGTGTATTGCAACACGAGTAAAGTGTGTTGTGTGTGCGCGCGCGCGGCGAACGGGGCGAGTAGAGAGTAGAGCGCCGTACACTGGCAGCAGAGCTAGAGCAGAGTGCAGTTCACACCAACTCGGCCTGCCTCGAGGAGAGCGGCGGCGCCTCCTCCTCGTCGCTCGAGCGGGGCTGCTGCGCCAGCTGGTCGCCGCACACGCCGCCATCCGGCACTCGCCAGCCCTCGACGACGCCTCATCTCGCCAAATATCGCCAAGTCTCGCCAAATCTCGCCACATCTCGCACCGCAGGCGCGCCAACCTCGACTGCGGTGAGGACTTCCGCCTCGAGGTGGGCCGGGCAGCCTTACCCCCCCCCCCCGCGAATGGGAGGGCGGTTCCCCCCCTCGGGCTTGGAATGGGGTTTGCTTAGGCAAACGGGGGGGCCTTTTTCCCCCAAAAGGCTCTCCCGGCTGGGGCGGGGGGGATCTTTTTCCAATATTTGTTGCAGAGCTAGGGGGGGCGTCCTGTTGCCATCCCGCGGAGAGGAGGCGGTTCGAAAATATTTTTTCTCGGCTCCTGCGGGGGGGCCGTATTTCTATTTGGTCCACGCGCTTGGGGAGGGGCGGGAACCCTCCCTAGTTTCGGGCTAGGTGGCTGCCCTAGGCTCTGTGTTATCTTTTTGGGCGTCCCCGCCCCGCCGGCGGGCGTTGTGTCGGACTAGTTCGTCCCCCTTGCGACCTGCGAAGAGTGACGGGTCGAGCGACTCGAGCCCTCTCTTCACCGGTGGGTCGGATGGCCGCTTCTTTCACTTATCGCAATTGGCAATGCAGTCGTATACTATGAAGAGCGCGCCTCCGAAGGACTCCTGGATGAGATCTCGCTGGACGTTTGGGCAGTCCTTGGAGTCGGCAAGTAGATAGGCATCTTAAAGGCGATTCGGATCGCGGGCAAGATCTGAGTGGCGACACAGCCTCCGGAAGTGGGGGGGGGGGGGGCTTTTCCCCCCCCCCCCCCCTTCTCCCTCCCCTCCTCCCCTCCCCGCTCTCCTCATCCCCCTCTCCCCTCTCCCCTCTCCCAAGCTCTCTCCCCGCTGCTCCCTCGTCCACCGCCCGCCTCTCCCTCGGAGGCATGCTGCGCCACATCCCCCCGCAGGTGCCGGGCCGCCCCGCCGCCCGCGCGAGCAGCCCCGTCTCCGCCCGCTCCAACGGTGAGAGCGGCAGCAGCTCCACAGCAGCCGGTGCGAACTGGCGCGTGCTAGTACTATCACAGGCACACCACCGGAGCCGCCTAAGCGACTCCGTTAAGAACGGCAATGCACTTAGCACCGTGCACAATGCCGCTGTCCCCGCACGCTAGCTCGTTCACCGTCTGCCACGCCACGGCGGTGTGGAGAACGACAGACAAGCGCTGCATCTGCAGCCCGTGCCAGTTCTTGGTGGTCCATGTGACCTCATCGAGGTGCTGAGCGTGCGAAAGTTTGTTACTCAGCTGGTCCGCCGCCTGCCGAAGAATTTTGCGGACGCCGTCCCCGAAGCCGCCGAACGTCTCGAAGTCGAGCAAACGCAGGTCGCAATTCTTCTCCCGCGCGAACCGGTACTCGCCCTTCTCGTAGCGGGCCGTCACAGGTGCCCCCGCCTCCGCCTCCCCCTCACTCTCCCCCTCCTCCTCTTCCGCCGCCGCCGCCTCCGCCTCTGCATCCTATGCCGCCAGAAAGAAGAATGCGAAAGCCTCTATCCTCGTCACAGCAACAAGCGGGCTCACGCGGAGTAGTTCGCACCGACAGCGAGTACGCGGCGGCATGCATGATGGGGCGGGTGGCCCGCACAACGAACAGACAGCTGGCGGAGCGCCATCGTTCCCTCTGGCAACGCCTTCGCGCCAAACACACCGTGACGTGGAGGCATGTGGAGGGTCAGACACAGCGGCAGCAAGTGGAACGACTACGTCGACGAGCTAGCTGCTCGCGGCAGGCGGGGTGACAGAGGCTCAAACGCTGCCGAGTGGGCGGACGTCACCATCCCGACGGACACTCCCGACGAGGGAAGCAACACGGAGGGGGGCGACAGCAGTACCATTGGACACGGAACAACAGGACTCGGAGAGGAAAGATGGTAGCGACACCGACTGTGGGGGCCTGCTACACCAACGACTAAAGCCCCAGCCAGCCCCGTCACGCCGTCAGCCACCCCTCGCCCGCCACCGACCCTGAAGCCGCACCCGTCGCTAACCCTCGCCGTGCCCCCCGAGTTCGAGCGATATGGTCTGATTACGTGCCCGAGCGAGCAGGCGAGGGAGATCGGAGATGATCGGGGAGCGCGATGCGCAATTGCCCTCGATGTTGACCCTCCCCCACCATCCCTCTCCCCCCCGGACGACGCCGCTCTCGCATCTGCTATGGTCTCTCTCTCGATACACAACACGCTCGCCGACTTGGCAACAAGGGTTGACTCCCATCGCGCTAGGCGACGAACCTGCCCCCGCCCCTAGGGGCGGGGGCCCCCGCCCCCCCGGGGGGCCCTTTGGGGCCCCTCCAGGGGGCCACCCCTCCGGGGAGGTGGCCGGCTTTCCCCGTGCCGGTCCTCCCCAACCAACCCCGCCGGCAGCGCGAGCTGCCGGCCACATTGAGCGGTTCGTCCGCGTCGCGCACTCGTCCCAACCGAGGGCCGCAGACTTGTTCTGCGCGCCAACGGCTGGTGACGCTGTGTTGCCCTTGAGCTAGTCCTTCCCCGGTCGCCTAGCCTCTGCGCTGTCTGGCGAACGCCTGTATGCCATGCGCGCGGACCACGCTTGCGTGGATACGTGGCTGGCAGGCTGACCCGTGTGCGGGGTAACCCGCGCACGGGGAAGCTTCATGGGTTCGAGTCGTCAAACATTGAGGAGCGGAGGTGTGCCGAGGGGGACCGGGAGGGGGACCGGGAGGCGGTAAGTCGTCGTCGCCCGGCGCTGCTTGCAGCACCACATGGCGATGGCGCTAAGAGGTTCCTCTTTTCCTCCGCCCCCCCCCCCCCCCCTCTCAAGGCGCGCGAGATAACACGACTTGGCGAAGACTAGAGAAAAACAATTTTACAACTAAAACTCCCTCGCACGTGCTAGAGAAAAAGAAAAGCGTCGCGCCATGCCGAGCATCCACGGCCCGCTGGGTCGGTGGGTGCGCTTCTGCTCCCCGGCCCTGGATGTGAGGTCACCTGCACTGCACTCCAAGTGCTGCGCGTGAGCAGTGCCACGTGTGAGTGTGTGGATTTTGATTTGTGAGACTTAGACTGATCACTGATTACCTCATCGCCGCGCGCACTCAGCCCCCTTCCGGTCGGCGCCTCTGCGCTGGCGGCCGGTAGCGCACGGCGCCCGCCGCCACGAGCGCCTCTATGGCCCTCCACTGCGCGTGCCAGTCGTGGTTGCCCTGCGCGCCCGAGAAGTAGCGGCTCTGGTTGTGGCGGCACTCCCAGTAGTGGTTGCAGGCCGCCGCGTCGGCCGGGGCGGACGCGTTGCCGTAGCCGAAGAGCGTCACCTAAGGTGGGTAAGGGAAGGTACACTTCTCCACACACACAAGGTGGTGGGGCAAGGGCCAGGCGACCCCTCGCGTCCACGTCTAGACGACAGGAGCCCCACGGCGTTAAAAGTGCAAGGCCCAGTGCGCGTGGGTGAGCGGTGTGTGTTGTGTGTGTGTGTGTGTGTGTGTGTGTGTGTGTGTGTGTGTGTGTGTGTTGTGTGTGTGTGTGTGTGTGTGTGTGTGTGTGTGTGTGTGTGTGTGTGTGTGTGTGTGTGTGTGTGTGTGTGTGTGTGTGCGTGTGTGCGTGTGTGTGCGTGTGTTTGTGTGAGTGTGTGTGTCTGTGAGTGAGTGTCACCTCCGAGCACATCGCGAGAGCCGCCGCGACGCCGAGCGCGCCTGTGCTCGGCCGGACAGACCCGCGCCGCGAGCCTCCCAGCTCACGCTGGAACCTCCACCAGTGCAGCGCAAGGCGCGGGTTCAGCAGGAGCGCGCGCCCTCCCTCTCGCCGCGCCAGCACGTCGGCATGGCACGAGCCGAGCCACGGGTTGAAGCAGTACAGCGCTGCAGTCGAGTTGCCGCCGCCCCGCGATGCATGCGACGTCTGCGAGCGCCACGGGAAGTGGGACGCCTAACAAGACACGGCGGTCCGCCTTGCTCGTTCCGCTCCTGCTGGGCGGGTCCTTCTCGCGGCAGTGAGGCGCCACGAAGAGAGACGTCCGCCGGCCGACGTGGTCTCCGAACCGCCCGCCCGCCGGCGCGCTGTTGAAGCGGATCACCGACTCGTGGCTGTCGATCTCCTCCCCTGAGCCAGATCCGAACAGCCCTCCCGCCGAACCGACGACTGCGCACGAGCCGAGGGACGCGCGCCGTGGGCGACCGGACGCGGCCAACAGCGCTGTCGCCACGGCAGCACACAGGGAGCGGCTCTCGTTTGCGCTGGCCGCCTCGCGGCCCTTGGGAATGGCCGCTCTCCCGTCTGCCAGCCGGCCTCCCGCGCCCGTCGCGACGCCCGGCTCGAGCCCGTAGCTGGCGGCAAGAGCGGCGATTGCGCTCATCCTGCTCGGCTTGTCGAGCAGCCCGAATGGTGGGCGGTGCTCGCAGAGGTCCGACGCGGCGGCGTCAGCGAGGAAGGGCGGCGTCTGCTTCACGCGACGGCGGAAGTCTGCAGCCGGGCCCTCTGCCATCCGGCTCGCGCCGCAGCGGGCACGTGCTTTAAATTCTTTTTTAGTTCTCGTGTTTGTGTCTTGTGAGCTTGTTTGTGTCTGTGTGTCGCTCGTGCGTGTCGTCATCATCTGTCTAGCGTCCACCCATAACGCGTTGGTGTCCAGTCCGAGCCTGGCTGTTCTTCACCTTACTACCTACCTACCTACCTTTTTGGGTGGAAGAGCCCGAGGAAAGAAACAAAGGGGAGGTTGAAATCGTTCACCACGCTGCCCGGCGTCTCTCACTTTCCGGGACAGCCCCGCCCTTGTGAGGCAGGAAAGTGGCGGCTACCCCGTACGCCCAGTCCACTGCGACCCCCTCGCCGACTGCCCAGACTCCCCTTCCCCTTCTCCAACCTCGACGAGCCGATGACCGTTGCCTCTGCCCTGGCAGCCGCGCGCCCGCCTTGGGGGCAGCCTGCCGGACCGCCGCTGCACGGGGCTAGGCACCAGAAGAGAGTGGAATTGATGAATTGGGCCGTTGTCCGTGCCTCCCCTCTATACGTCAGAGTGGGACCTACGCCGCGCCGGGTAAGGGGCGCGCCCGGTCCTCGACGGAGCCGCGCGCCCCAAACGACCCAGGCGGCGAGTAGTCGTCCTCGAACCTTCGACATGTAGTTGCCCATAGTTAGCGCCCGCCCGCCCCTCTCTTCCCCTCCGTCGCCGCGCAAAAGAAAAAGAAAAAGAAAAAGAAACGAAAAGAAAAAACGAACCCATGCTGACAGGAGGAGAGCTCGAGAGCGCGGCCGCGGCCAGCGAGGCGTCGGCCCTCACTGGGGCGCCGTTCGTCGGTGGCTGCCTCGAGAGCGCGAGAGGCCTTCTGCAAGCCTTCTCCTCAAGACGACGGTCGCCGGGGCATGCGATCTTGCACGTCCCCGACCCGTCGAGGTACGTTCCTTCGCCGCAAGCCCCGATAGGCGGTGACGACGGGTCGGCGGGGCGGGTGGCGATGGAGGAGGGAGAGGATAGTCGCCAGGTAGATCCGACCCGTTTTGGGGTCCATGCATTTTGCATTTTCTGTACGGTCGTTGTAGGAGTCTAGATCGTTGTAGGATGTATCTGGGGGCCTGGATATCTCCATCGAGCAGGTATGGCTAAAATTGTGAGAAGCATCAGCAGGTCTTGAGTGGCAGGGCGGGGGCGGAGATGGCGGGTATGCGACGTCCTACGAACCGGCGTGGGCATGGATGTGCATACGTGGCTGGTTCACAGCGATTGTAGGAAAATGACGAAAACACTTGACCGTCGCGGCCTTCCGACTCGCGCCTCCGCCTCACTGGCACTATTGTAGCCCTGGCCGGTGCGCGTGCGGAGTTGAAGTTCCGGAGTGAAAATTCGAACGCGTTCTCTCCCGGTGACCAAAAAATGTCCACCTCAGAGGCACCTCCGGAGGCAGGCCGCCGCACGCCGGCGACACAGCTCCAGCTGTCGAACTGACCCGCAGCTCCTCTCAGAGCGGGAACTGTGACGAAAGTTGACTGAGGTGGTTGTCAGGAATCATCATACGGATCACATGGTGGCTCTTTCATGACGGGAGACCGCCCGACCACTCCTGGGTGGCACTGCCACCGGTGTCGCTCGACGTCCTGTCGACAGCGTGCCGACAGCGACACAGACCATGTGGGACGCGTCGAGTATCGACCTCTACTGCTTACCCAGCCTTCGAGTGTATCCTGGCTGTGGTCCCACACCCACTGGTGTCCATCTCAGAGACCGCAGGAGGTCATGAGGGTCGATGGGAGTGCCAACCCCACAATGCCTACTGTAAAAACCCAGCCCAGTAAGGTGGCCACAACAATTGCATTAGTGGTTCTTACATATCCATAGCGGGACCGGCCACCTCCCTCTTTCTGACGAGTCTATTGTTTCTATTGTTTCACGAGTTAAACGCGCATACGAAAGCAGACGCCGCATGACTCACGCCCTGCACTAGCAGGCTCATGAGGCACGCTTTATAGCAGGGATGGCTCATGGTTGACACATCGGACAGTTCGTTGTCGTGACGCCGCCATAGCCGCGAGTTCGCCAGAACTGTTCGAGGCATTCGCTATGATACGCGTGCAGGCAAGTTTCGAGAATGATCACACCCTCGCCCAGATGCATCTCGTCCATGCAAATACTGCAAGCAGCATCAGGCGTCCGACCGAGACGCTGCAGGGCACTCGACAGATCGGCGTAGACGCTTGGCTGACCCTGCAGTTCAGGCACGCGCCGCTGGTAACGCGCTATTTTCGCCAGTAATGCCGCTTCCGCATCCACCTCGCCCGCCATACGAGCCTGGCGGAGTGCTTCCTGCCAATGCTCCATGGCCTGAAGCCAGCGGCCTTGCTGCCGAAAGACTGATCCCAACACTCCGTGAGCCACGCAGAGACGTTCGGGCACAACAGAACCTTCAATAACTTGCCTCAAATGAGACTCTGCCTGCGCGTAGTGGCCTAAGTGCAACTCAGCCTGACCAATGTTTGACAGCGAACTGGTGACGTCAAGCTTTGATCCCGATGACCCCGAGACGAGGCGGTGCTGGCTGGGTGCTGCATCAATTTCTGAGCGGTTGTCAGCCTGCGCAATGGCTAGTGCCAGCTGAAAGTGCTGCAGCGCGGCTGCAGGATCATACTGTGGCGTGCCCTCGTGCATGCGCAAATGACCTTGCAACGTCACACACATTTCGTGCAGCCGCTGAATGCCAGGTGCAGCAGCAAGATCCGGCTCGGCAAGCAGCTGCAGTGCCTGCGAGGTGTCACGCGACGCCGCTGCGATATCACCCTTCTTGTTCAGGGCAACTGCACGGCCGCGCAGCGAGTTTGCAAGCGCTCGTTTGGCCGCCGTGCTCACAGGCGGCGGGATACTCTCACAGGTGTTTACGGCATCCGAGAATGCGTCGCGCATTTCACCGAAGGCCCCCTTCCGGTAGGCTGCCCAACCAGCTTCGCGCTGCGTGGCAGCTAGCTGAAGAGCGCCCTCGTCAGCGTTGCTGTTCATAGGGTTGAGCCAGGAGAACGACTGAAAAGAATTCTTCTCGCCGTTCTCGAGGTGGATATCCTTTGGCCGCGTTGGGTAGCGAGGATTGGTGTAACCCGAGCCACGGAGGCGTGTTTTCTGACGGCCGACCGTCAGTGCACGGAGTTGCCCTAGGAGTTGCCCCTTCTCCGACTGCCCCGGCTAGTTCCCGAGTTTCGCGGGAGTGACCCCATGCGTCAAACCCGAGACCTAGCGCGGGTGGGTTGGAGGGGCCTCGGAAAGGCGCGCAAGCACGCCCTACGTCTTCCCCTCCTCCCCATCGGGCCGCATGAGCGGCCACGCCTCGCAGATTCGTTTCCGCGCCTGGGTCAGGCGCGCGGGGCATCCCCCGGGTCGCTCGACCAGCGATCCGAACCCCCCTTTGCTCCACACCATTTCGGCAGTAGTGGAGTACTCATCAAAGTCCCAATAAGAATCTTAGTTTCTTGTACCCGAGGCAGGTGTGAAACACGTCAGGCGAGTAGGTGAACCAGTCGCAAAATCCCTCCAACTGACACCGAGTCGGCTCGCGCAACCCATGAACGTACTCTCCCCGTGTCGAGCGAGACCGACGGGTTGGGGAGCATGTACAGAGGAGAGCTAACGAACGCACGGGCGCACCGATTGGTTGGAGGACATACTCGAGTAGCCGCGCCAGACAGACTCGAGGTCTGTGAGCGGCACCTGCGAGTGGCCGTGGCGCACCCTGGAGCTCGACCGGCCAAGTTTGCTCTTGAGCCGCGCGATGTACGTTTTGCAACGCGCAATTTCCTTATTTTTTGCCGCACTTTCCGGGTGCCAACTGTTGTTGGTACAGTGGGTTGCGGGCATTAAGAAAACGTGGCATTAAGAAACCCTACCAAGCGATTTCCGCAAAAAGCTAAGAAACCACGGCGCGCCGCAGGCGCGGCCCCGAGAAAAGGCCAGATACGAGTGTGAACGGGACGCGCGCACTTGTCACTTTTCAAGTCTGCGGTGTTCTGAGTGGAGTGGATGGAGGCGTGTGTGCGTCTTCCCGTCATCCAGAGAGCCGGCTCGGCGGCAGACTCTGGCATCGCCCTCGCGGACCGCAGCTTACCTCTTACCTAAAACTCCTTCGGGCCGGCTCTGGCTTGAGTGCCGGCCGGAGCTAAGAAACCACGGCGTGGGGTGGATGAGGGCTGTGGAAAGGCCTTGAAACGGCGGCGTGCCGCGTGATCCTGTTTTCTTAATGCCCGCAACCCACTGTACTCGAGTACAGTGGGTTGCGGGCATTAAGAAAACGTAGTAGTAAGAAACCACGCCGAGCGATTTCCGCAAAAATCTAAGAAACCACGGCGCGCCGCAGACGCGGCCCCGAGAAAACAAAGGCCAGAAACGAGTGTGTGATTCACTGTGTGTGAAGCTCGGGCAGGGGCTGTAAGGTAGTGAAAGACCTTCCCTGGGTCTGTCTCTCACACCCTCACTGTCGTCGTATGCGAGGTTCTTGTTTTCTTATCACCCTATCTGTGAACGGGAGCCCCAGCTCAAAATTTCTCTTCGCCTGCGGCGCGCGCACTTGTCACTTTCCAAGTCTGCGGTGTTCTGAGTGGAGTGGATGGAGGCGTGTGTGCGTCTTCCCCCGTCATCCAGAGAGCCGACTCAGCGGCAGACTCTGGCATCGCCCTCGCGGACCGGCAGCTTACAGCTTACCTCTTACTTACCTAAAAATCCTTCGGGCCCGCCGGCTCTGCTGGCTTGAGTGCCGGCCGGAGCTAAGAAACCACGGCGCGGGGTGGATGACGGCTGTGGAAAGGCTTAGAAACGGCGGGCTGCCGCGAAATTGTTTTCTTAAAGGCCCACTCCACGCCCCCTTTCGGCTTTGAGCAAGTGTCGACACTTGGCCGCCGCTGCCTCCTGAGCACCCCCACGCCGGTTGGGGCTGCTCTCCGCCCACCAGCCGGCCACAGGCCGCCACCCTGGCCGGCCGGCGTCGAGAGAACGGCCAGACTCGACCGACCGGGTGTCGCGCCGCTGCCTGCTTCTCGCGCCGCTGTAGCAGCGCCAGCGGCTCGGCCGCGCATCCTTCACACACGCCGCCACGACCAAGCTGAGCGGGCCCAGTGTCGAGGTCTGGTGCGAGCTGCATGTGAGGGGCGGCTTTGGCCACAGCAGGTCCACCAGACGGATCTCAAAGCTTGCCGTCGGCGTGCTGTCTTGGCGAGAGCCGAGACCGCTGCAGAGGAGCCGAGTGCAGTGACGATCCAGAGGCTACCAGGGCCACCAAGTGGTAGCCCTTGCCCATTCTGATCAGGGCTGTGCTTTGGTGGGGTTGTGTTTGAGCATGTGTGAAGTGGGAGTGCGTGCCGGCGGTGTCTGTGGGTGAACGGGCGTGAGTGAGGCCGTAAGAGCCGTGGTATGAGCCAGAGTGGGCTTCATCACCCAAAATAAGGACGGTTTGGGACAGCTCAGACTTGGTACTGATGAGCCTGGGCCAGGAGGGCGACAGAGACGGCGAGGTGGTGAGCTGGGAAGCCGCTTCATCGGCACCTGGACGTGTCGCGATGAACTGCCGAAAAGTACTATTTGCGGCTATTGCTCAAAACTTCGGGAGACAAGGCCTACATATTATGACTGAATCCTTGCGCCTGGTGCATGAGGGCTGCGGGTCGGGACATTTCACGGTCGGTGGCGCCGGTGTTGGCCTCCGGAAAGCCCTCGCAATCGCCTCGGATGGGGTCCACCGGAGACAATCTCGAGCCCTCTCCGTGGCATCACGAGCCGGTGTGAGCTTGCAGACCCAAGGTAAGTGCGGTCTGGGACGGCTTAGGCTTGCTACTGATGGGCCTGGGCCAGGAGGGCGACAGAGAAGGCGAGATGGTGAGCTGAGACGCTGGAGAGTCCGCGTGTGACCGTGTCGCGATGCAAGTGCCACGAAGGTACACCTGTGTTATAGTGCCAGTGCGCACCAGTCCCGTGCCAGTGTTGTGCCAAAGCGTGAAAACTCTTTTTCCATACGCAGTCTCACCGTCAGAAAACACGCCTGCGTGGACCGCGTCACACCAATCCTCGCTACCCAACGCGGCCAAAGGATATCCAACTCGAGAACCTCGAGAGAGATACGCTCGCCCGTAGTGGCGTTTTTCACGCGCCGTTCACACCGAGCAGGGTTTTGGAAGGACGATCAGGGACACAGGGGAACGGGAGTGGGGAGCGCATCGCGACACGGAGGATTCACCAACACTTGGAGCACTTGGAGTGT